CATTTGCACTTCAGTTCTTTTATCTTTTTCCTTTAGGAACGACCATTACTTAATCCTCTGCTTTACTTTCGACACCAAGGTATGTGAATGTTATCTATTTTTTTTTCTTGTCGTACTATGGCTTAGCCTTTCAAAAAGTCTACAAGGACAAGGTTTCCTTCTTTAGCCATAGCCATCGCTTTCCATAAGAAATTACAATTATAACTTGATGAATGTGTCAATAACAAAGGTTACAAAGATTTAAAAATCAACAAGATTTTCTATGTCCAATGTACTTGCCCACAACAAAACCCTGAACCACGTTCTTCCACCAAAATTTACGGAAAAAAATATTGAAAGACATGAATACTGGTTCCAAATCAACAGCAATTGTTCATTTTGTTACATGAATCAAGAGTTTTGAACAAACTAAATACAAATAATAAAATTCGTTGCAAACAAAAGTAAAAAAACTGATTCCACTTAAATAATTTCACCAGATTCATTGTTCGCTTTAGCTGTCGATATCGCAATTCTATCCCTTATGAAAATTTTCTAAATTTATTAGGAATCCCACTTCTGCCAGCAGATGTTGCAGGATGTTTTTGTCGCCACAGAAAATGACCACGTATTTAAACCTTGAAGGTGAGTCTTCAACAAGAATGTTATCTCCCATAAGGCACTTTCGCTAACTGAATAATATCTTCACCCCTTTCGATATTAATTTCTTGACTCACGTGAACTTTAAAGTGGTTTTAATGAGATAAACTTTGGCATTAAAACAAACATTCAATCCATAGAACCAGGCATGTTTGCATTCAATGTTCCATCTAAGGTGAACGGCTGCAGACCCCGCAGCTTATTAGAATTGACACGCAAGTTTCAAAATTCTTTTTACAAGTTTTGGTTATAAATAATACGCCGAGCTCTAGTTTCAAAATTGCGCTTACATAGAATAAATATTAGAGGGAACGTTGTTTGCATTACGCTGACATTTGGTTATACATGCCAGACAGATATGATATAAATATTTACCGTTAGTGTCCCTTATAAAAGGAGCCTAGAAAAACTATTCAAGTCACCATTGGTAATAGATATCTTTCTAATGTTTAGTGCTGTAACCAGAACTATTAAGTTTCTTGTTACTGTAAACATTTAAAAATTTAATAAATGTGGAATATAATCTCTTCTTTGGAACTCGTCTTTAAGTGTTGTTTCTTTAATAGTGATTTGCCAAGCCAAGTCAATTCATGATCACAATGATTGCTCGTCATCTCATATAATTCCCAGTTTACTGTTAAGTCGACCTAACATTGGAAACTTAACAAAATAAACTTTATTTAAAAAATACATCCCATAAAAAAAGTTCTGTATGTGAATTAGAATATCAAAATGTCTTTGGAATATTGTTTATTTTTTTAACTTGCGACAAACTTGTTTCAATATCTATCCTGCTTATAATATATTTTTACAGGCCACAACCAACATAGCTTTCATCAGCTGAAACAGTGTTTTCAACGTGTGCCCTCTTGGTGATGAGTTACTGCCCGTAGAAAGCATAATGAATTGACCAATGAGGAAACTCGTTGCAGATTCAGATTCATATTGCAAAGCGGAGTGCACTGTTTTAGCTAGCTACATTTTTATGGGTCGACATAAAACAAAACGTGGTTCTGTGACCTCTGGCTTGTGAAGGTTGCGAAACGTTCGGATCTGAACAATGGTTCATTTGACTTAGTCATTCGTAATCAAATTGGGCTATTCATAAATATAATTTTTAGCAATGTAAACCTTCTAGAAGTCTATTTCTTCGGGCAGGTGAAACATAAAACTCATTAGTGGTAAGCAAGCATAGTTTCCTATTCAAGTAAACATAATAACAAAAATGACTATTCGTTTGTATCAAGATAATCTTACGTAGCACTAACAGCCTGTTTTAGTCTTCCTAAAGCCGGTGACATGCACACCATATGAACTTTGCAAAATTTGATGCTATACGGTCACCTGCAATCAACATCGTGAGTATGTATTAAAGACCTTTATCTTTTGTGATTCCATTATTGTAGTAGGTCCATAGGAAATCTTCAAGAAGCGTTACCTTCTATGAAAGATTTTGGTTCAGTGAAAAACAGTCTTCATTTTAAACATTTTATGTTAATTACATCCTTGTTTTGTTATCTGCTGCTTCGATTATCAAACAGAATACGGTAAATGCATACATGAATTGAGATAGAGTGAGCTTTATTGAATATAATTTATTTCCAAAACATGTTAATTTCTCATTTATTAAAACAAAATTTACACATCAATAGTGCTTTATTTCTAAGATAGGTAAGCTGTTCACAGGAGCGCTTCCGTTTGAAAACAGCATCAAATGTTGATAATTCCGTATTGGTTTTTATATATTTTGCTTAAAATTAAAATCTGTTCCTTGCCGTGTTGGTCGTTAAACTTCGTAGCATTATCTTGAAGCTAGAGACCCTAGCGAACAAGACAATTTACTACAGTATCTGTTGTACAAAATCCTTGCGAGCGAGCCAATTTACTGTTTAACATGTGATACTTGAACTATCAAATATTATCGCTTTGTTGACATGGATCAAATTATTTGCGAACAAAATCTATGTGCACATAGTTTTGCACGTGCTGTCTGACATTTCTTTCAAAGGATATACTGCAGATATAGAGTGAAAATGTACCCTATTCTTCTTCACACTTCGATGGATATAACTGTATACGTCTAAATCAACAGTCATACTCTTTATCACATAACTGTATACATATGGAATAATATTCAGTTTAGTTAGCGTACAAAGCACTTGAAATACATTAGCATGCACTTTAACTTCGACATTTTACAAAACGTACATTTTTTAATGAAAACAACGCATTGTTAAATATCAAAGTAAAAACTTAGCGCTAAAAGACGTGTAAGACATTTTTAATAGCTGTTAACTTAGCTTTCTCCGGCTTGAAATGAAAACAGTTTTGAGATCAGTTTGATCCAAGGCTTTATAAAGAAAGTAGGTTTGAGATTCAATTAATTATTGTGTGTGTGTGTGTGTGTGTGACAACAACTAAATTGTACAAGCAAGATTAAATAAAAGGGCTAAAATCTTGGTTACTAGTGCCATGGTAGTGCCATGGTGTAAAATTGTCATTAAGACTTTATAATTCACTGAAGGAAATACGTGCGTAATAACCATACGAATAATTATTATTACTGTTTGTATTCAGTCATACAAGTATCATGAATATACTTCGTTCCTTTAATAGGAAAAATCGATAATTTGCTAGACGTATGCAATAGTATATTTTCGATGAAATGTATATTTCGCTCAAAAACATCGTGCTATCGTAATAATTCGTTCCTTTCACGCAAATAATCGATAAAATGTATAAACACATCGCTCCACGCCACACATAAAACAGAATCCTAGCTTCCATCAGTAATAATTAGGAAGTGCCTTGCGAAACTGATTAGAATAAACCACTACACCCAAAGGGTAATAATATTTTACCATCTGCCAGTCTTTAGTGACAGACACATCATCTGTACTGAATACTGAGTTAGAAATTTACATATCCCACGAAACATTTGCTATCGGAATTATAGGTCGAGTGAAAAGTCACAAACCACATGCAAGAGCCCAAGAACTATAGTTTTTAGGAAAACGAAGATATGTTACAAACTTCAGCAGCTGGAAATATGCATGTTAAATTTTCAAAAATATTTCAATAATGCACAAATATTTATTTATTTTTACTGCGTTACATATGGTATTTTAAATAAGTGAATTAGATTTTCGAATACTAAATTGTTGCTATTTTGAGACAGGTGCAAACAACACCTGCATTTTCCTAGAGAACAACGTTGCAAATTAAACTGAATCCTATTCTGAAAAAAGTTTGATAAGCTAGGAATGCATCGAGTCTGCTATCTCGCTACATAGTGCACTAGTTAAGCAAACTATCCTATTTTAAGCAACAGAAGCAAACCTAATGGGGACGAGTGCATTTCTATAAAGCAGCTGTCTATTTATGAGTGTCGACAAAAGAGATGGTTCCCTTGCTGCAGCGGCAAAAAGCATAGTCTAATTCTGGGCGTCGTCAAATGTCATAGTAAACGAATCGTAACGGTAATAAAGCGCAATGGATATTTTTGATTACGTGGCCGCTAAATGAAATTGTATTATTCGTATCATAAATGCATGATCTGCATGATAAGCTAATATATTTGGCTGAGAAGGAGATTTATTTATTTTACATGAACAAAATGAATTTATATTTATAAGACTGTTTTGTATAATATTATATTCCTTTTTCTTGATGTATCAAAATACATTTATATGCATGTAAGGAACACCTTTAATGCCTTAAATATATAGCATTAATATGTACCTTTCGTGTGCGTGTTTGTCTGTGTTTGTGTGTGTCTGTGTTTCTATGTATGTTACAGTTGACAGATTTTAAAAAATTATTACTGTGCTAGAATGGAAGGAAAAAAATTAAACTATTGATTATTTTGAAAAATAGATTTTCCAATAATATAAAAATCTATATAAGCATAAATCTAAACATATTTCTAATACAAGCATTACGGCCAAAACCATCTTCTCCTAAACAATACATTTTAAAACAAACATTGTTGTTCAAATTGGCCAAATCATAAAACACATGAGAAGCTATAAACAGATGAAGCTTTGAACACTAACGCCAACTTTTAAATATATTATCCATATGGGAATTGATGAATGCTCTCATTCCATTGTGTGTATGTGGTTTGTATTTTTAATGTAACTTTAATAATATTTCACTCATATCGCTACGATGTCTGCAGTGTGGCAGTTTATTGTGATGTCTAACAGTGGAGCGTCATACCGCAAACATGTAGCATGATGTCACACCAAGTCTCATTATCCGGACACCAGTCCGACCAGTCCTAACACTAATTTCTTAATGATGAGCACCTAGCGAGGACGCTGTTCGTACCATTTTCCATTTTTTATAAGTCTTTTATATGACTCAGCCAAGGATCGAACCCGCGACCTCCAGCATCTGAGGCGGACGCTCTAATCACTAGGCTACCAGTGCGGTCTCATTCCTTTCTGTAAATCTGAGAATGTGCTAACACAACGTAAAGTCGTTCACCTCGCTTTTCATAACTTAAAATCTCACTAAGAAGAATTCCGATCATTACGAAATTATAACATATATAAACATTCCTCTAAACTTTATATCGCGTCGTTTTACCTCTTCTACTATAGCCTTATTTAAAAAGATACTTCAAAAGATAAAGTCGTAAGAAGCGCGCAATATCACGTGCTCAAAATCTAACTCATCCAAAGCGTTACTTATATAAACTTTCTGGCTTAATTATTTTAAGAAATTGACTGAGAAATGTGGTACCTATGTCTAGAGTCGTAAAGACTTCCACCAATCAGATTTAAGATCCTCTTTTTAGTATTCACAGATCGAATTAATTATAAAACCTGTCTAAGACATTTATGATACACGCTTATTTACCGATTTTAAGGACAGACTAAATTCCGATGGTAATAAGTTCAGCCAATCAAATGCTAGTTCGCCGATCGCCTCATAAACCTGTTTAGATCTTGATCATAATCCAGCTCGTTCTTAGCAACTTACTCATATAAAACTATCTAGCACGTTATATCAGGACCTGATATAATTCTTCTTGTTCGCCCATCAAGTCTACGAAGACCACTCTAATCATCCGTGAGTTGGAGGGGCCGGTTCTGTTCTCTGCATGCGCACAGGTGGCTGATAAGGCCAGTCCTTGCACGGAAGGTTCGGTTGCAGAAGGGACAAGGGATGAGTGAGACATCTCCAGAAAGGTTACTGGCGCGAGCTTCTCAGGCTTGCCTCTTCTCTTCAGCTCTGCAGCTGCTGTCCTGCTAGATTTGCACAGCTTGGTGCCTTTTGTACAGGTGAATACGCCAAGTGACTCGATATCTGGCTGTTTGCTCTCATGAATCAGGATTTATGTTGAACGCTTTCAATGCAGCTTTCAAATTGTCTTTAAAGCGTTTCTTCTGATCCCCGTGGGATCGCTGTAATTGCTGTATCTCGTCAAAAGAAGATTCTCTTAGGAAGCTGGTGGTCTGGCATACGTACAACATGCCCCGCCCAGAGTAGCTAGGTGTAACGGGGAATTGAAAACATTAAACCCATCCTTAATTAATTTGGCGTCGTTAGCTAGGGAATGATCTCCACGGTTTTATTCCCCAGTGAGGACAGATAGATGGATATTTACTGGTAGCTGGTCAAATTATCAAAAGAAATATTAAAAAAACAACGAGACTCCTTGCAAAAAAAAAATACAAATTTTAATCATTTAACATATAATAAAAATAAAATCACTTCCATTCAACAGATTCACCAAATTAAATGTATTCAATTAATGCATGACTAAATTTACTTTCCAATAATAAACGTATAGCCATATTTCGCTTTATTAGCCATCTGATTCGTTGTGACATACTTTCGTCACGATCCATTTTCATCATTTGCTAGTGTTGAGTTTGAGTGCAATTCCCAATCATAGACAGCATTACCTGGCCTGTCTCAGTCTGGTCTTGTCTCCCAGTCTAGTATGTGTACTTTGGTCCTCTTCGACCCTTGACTATTCCGACTTCTCTCAGACGAAAGCGACCGTATATATCAGCATACATTACTACACGCAGTACCGCATTTAGGCATAAGCTAAACAAGCTACAGCTTAGGGCCCCACAGTCTGAACTCAGTCTGAAGAAGCCTCTCAAATTTATTTTATACCAAATATGACCTCTATAGTCTTCCATAGCCTAATGCATCGCTTAAATCCGGTACTGACTACACGTCTTATTTAGCATTGGCTAGACAATGTGGTTCAATAAAATAAATACTTAGTTATTTATAGCATAACATCTAATAAATCTTACTACACTAAAGTAACTTGCAATGATCATTTAACATTTGCAAAATCATATATAAATATACGCTTGTCACTAAGTCACAAATATCATCATACACAGAGAATCAATTCATATAGCCTAAGAAATATGACGCATTTGTATATTAGGGTGAATTTATAAATTCCTTACGAAATACTATACATTCATTATTTAATTACATGCAATCCGCGAATTCTCTCAATGAGTTAATAATTGAAAAATAAAAAAATTAAATGGCATGAAACTAAAACAGTCCTAAGAAAAGAATACACGATACCTGCCTGAATCATAAACATATCAATACATTTGCAAACAACGAAATAAATAAATAAAAAATAGATTATTAAATTGGAAACTAAAATTGCGTACCTTAATACAGTTTATTTCTAAACAAAGTGTCCTAGCCTAAAGCATGTTCTTCTTTGAAAGACAGTGTCTGGCTCTTCTCTACAAGTTCCCTTTTTACAAAGAAACATCACTCACTAGGCTTCTCCAGAGTCGGTCAAGGAAAAATCCCACTGAAGAATTTTGGCAAAGGGTAACCCTAAATTGTTTCCCAATGTGTACGCCCTAAATTTCCCTAACCAATCAGAAATAACTGTTAATAAAAGTTCCCTCCAAAAAATCATGTCTAACATCAGACTTCACCAGTCTAAAATATGCTGTAATTAATTTCCTTTGAAGAATCAACTGTTTGACATGAGCCTCTTTTTGAAGAGTTACGGTCGAGTTATATCGCGCGCTCGCCACTATACCAGCAAAACTGACCGGATCAGATGCTGCTAAACCTTAACGCAACTCCTTTCATGTGTTTAAAGATGAAATAAAGAAATAATCAGTGAACTTCCTCAAGATCTTTCTGGCTTGACTTTGTTAACTTTAAGGCACATTTTATTTAACCTAAAGTTTCACTAAGTATTAAAAATTCGTTACATAATACTGGGACTAGATTAGGATAGTGTGCATTCTGGGGAGACTTGCGTTGACAACAACCGCGGTGTCTGTGACCTTGTCCTGCCACTATATACTGATGCTTGTCCTGAGACTTGTGGTGTGAAAGTCTTTCAGCTTGCTGGTATGTCGTTGATACACCGTCCATGTTTCTAATGCGTAAAGTAGTGCGGAAAACACAACCGCCCTGTAGACCTTTAGTTTGGTCGTGATGCTGATGCCTCTTCTATTTCAGACGTTGGCATACAGTCTGCCAAAGGTTGCGTTGGTTCTGGCAATGCGAAGGTTCACCTCGTCGTCAATGGTGATGCTCTGTGATAGTGTGATGCAAAGGTATGTGTAGTGGTTCACTACATTGAGATTTTGGCTCTTGACGGTGATGTTGGGCTCAACATAGGGCTTTCCCGGGCCGGCTGATGCAGTACTTCAGTTTTCTTGGTACTGATTGTGAGGCCAAAGCTTGTGCAGGAACTGGAGAACTTGTCAACGCTGCGTTACAGGTCGGATGCTAAGCCAGCATTAAGGGCTCAGTCATCATATAATAAGAACTCCCCGATGATGTCTTCATAACCTTGATTTTCGCTTGAAGCATTCTGGGATTGAACAAGTTTCCATCTGTACGGTACCTGATGCCGACCCCCACATCTCCGTCTCTGAAAGCATTAGTCAGCATGGCGGAGAACAATATGCTGAACAGTGTCGGTGCCAGAACATAACACTGCTTGACGCATTGTTGTTGGCAATGGTTCAGATGTCTCTCCATTTTCATGGGCTCGCCCAAGCATGCCGTAGTGGAAGTCCTGAACCATGGATATATTTTTTCGGACACCCATACTTGGCGATTGCCTTCCATAATCCTTCTCTGATCACAGCATCAAAAGTCCTTTGCAAAGTTGATGTAGATGGAGAAAAGGTCGGCGTTTTGCTCTTGACAATTTTTTTGAAGCTGCCTTGCAGCAAACACCATGTCGATAGTCCCACGTTCTTTCCGGAATCCACTCTGGCTTTCTGGCAGGAGTCGCAGGTCAAGGTGAGTAGTGAGGCGGTGCAGGAAGATTCTAGCGAGTATCTTTCTTGCGATTGAGAGCAAGGATATACCTCGGTGGATGTCAAAGGCCTGTCGATTTTCTTTACGCTTGTGAAAGTAGATTATGGAAGCATCTTTGAATGCCTAGGGGATTTTCTCTTGCTACCACATCAATAAAAACTGTTCGTGGAGCATTTCTATCAAGGTTGTGCCCCATTCCTTTTTGACTTGTGCTGGGATGGTGTCTGAGCCAGAAGCTTTGCCACTGGAGAGCAGATGTATCGCTTTCTGTCTCAAGCAAGGTTTGAGGGTCATTCAGTGCTTTGTTGATGGGTAATTGGGGGAGAAGGCGGAAGGTTTCATCGTTGATAGATGAAGGGCGATTCAAAGTGTTCGACCCATCGTTCAAGAGTCTTTTCTTTAGCAGTAATTAGTGTGTTCTCATCTGTGCTGGGAATGGGTAATGATCCAGAGGAAGTAAGTACATACATTTTTTTCAGCGCATTATAGAAGTATAGAAGTTCTCCATGTCATGCTTGTCTGTGTAGCACTGGATCTCAGCCATGTTGTTAATCCATCTGACACAGTTTCTGCTGTACTGTTCTGTTTATATTGTTGTATGCATCTTTACTGGAGGTGGATTTGGGGTTTGTGAGGTAGTGTTGATAGAGGCGGTGCTTCTCACCCATTAACTACTTGATCTCGTCGCACTTCTCAACAAGTCGTGGTGCTTTCTATTAGATGGTACTATGATTTCCGAAGTTGTGCTTTAGACCAGCTATGTGAATGCCGCCCAGTCGGTATCCACATTTTGATTGTCCTGAGGGGTGGATTTCAGACTTTCTCCCAGTGACCCACTCCATGCCTTCCTAGCACTCCATCCCAGGCAACGTGATCACAGCATACTCTTGCATTGAAGTCGCCACGAATGACGAGCTTATCTGCCAATGAAATATCAGAAATAACGGAGTTAAAATCCTCATAGAACTTGCCCTTCACTTAATCCGGTTTGGTCATGGTCGGAGGGTATCAACTGATGATGAAAAGTTGATTTCTTCCAGACAAAAGGGGAAATTTCATGGTCACGAGTCTGTCATTTACTCCCTTGGGAGGTCCAGCCAATTTGCTAGTTAGTGCTGTCTTCACTGCAAAGCCAGCATCGTC